CGCTCCTAGTGACATAGATGCCAATGAGCCCATCAGAGCCTCGAAGCCTGAGGCTAACGACACTGTCTCTCAAAGTTCAGTTAGCGTAGTGGGGGACAGAGGTCAGTCCAGTACCCTCCAGCTTCAAACTGATCGCTGCATAGAGCCCACCTCACCCCCCAAGACGCCGTCCAGTGTCAGCCTGGCTGAGTCCATGCAGTCAGCCTTTCACAGTGAGTACACCAGACAGAATGTAAGATTTTACTGTAAATTGGATCATGGGTTTGAACTACTGGTCTAACAAGTCTTTGGAAATGTTTAGACCATATGGAACAGTTTATTAAAAGAAGAGTGATGATGGCAAAGATGCTAACAAAATGCAGGCCAGGGTGAGCTTGCAGATTGATCGTATGGCCGCCTTATTCCCAAACAGACCGATCCCTCCCAATGTGCAGCTTTACCACCTGCTCTCTCCTCGGACTCTGTTTCAAAACTGATGTGTTATCTTGAGAACGAGAGGGACAAAGGCTCACAGGGTGTGAGGTCCTGCTGACGTCGGTTCTCCTGACAGAAATGTAAAATTGTGTTTCCTCAGGCTGTGGGAAACTCAGGCCCAGCCGAGTCCAGAGTGTTGTCTCCAGTCAGGGCAGCCTGGACTCGGACATGCAGGGTAAGTGCTGCACACAATTTAATGACCAGAATGATCAGTGGTGCAGACAAACATCTACGTCCCAGTAAAGCTTAAATAGGTTATTTTTTCTGGCTAAGTATTCCAGGTGGTTCAGGTTTTAATCTAAACTATACCAGTATGTATAGGAAATCATTGAGTTCCAGATCTTTTTGCAGCTTGAATTCACCACGTGCAGACTGGAACTCATCTAGTGCAGGGGTGCCCACACTTTTTTGACTTGCGAGCTACTTTTCAAATGACCAAGTCAAAATGAATGACCTACATGTGTGTGTGCACACACACAAAATATATGTATGAATGAGTGTCCTAGTTTTTATGAACAGCCTGAAAGTGCCGCTCCACATTTCCCTTCTTCAGAATAGTGATGGTAGATTGGTAGATCAAGCAAACGCATTTCGAATATAACGTTGCAAAACAAAGTCCTCCTCCCATTTCACATGGAATGTTTTCGGTACGTTTTCGGTTTCTTACTTGATTCGGCCCCCCCACCCATTTTATACCCTTTAGTAGAAATTAATTCGAAGGCTGACAAGTTAGTTCGCTCACTGGAGTTTTGCAGTAGCTCGTGCAGTTGACTGTGCATGTTTGGTGACTCGTGTGTCAGAAAAGACGAGATCTCAGACTGGCTGTCCTGCATGTCAATCAAGTAGCAAATTCCATAGGGAGGATGGATGATAGGCTATATATGAATGATAGGGGTCGCCACAGCGAATCGTCACACTGACCATTCACATGTTAACATTTGGCATGTGTTTTACGGTGGATACATCTAATTTATTTTTGAATGGCACGCGACCTACCAACACTACCTTTCTGATCGACCGGTTGGTCACGATCGACGTATTGGGCACCCCAGATCTAGTGGATAAATCACACCGTTTTATAAAATGAATGATAGAAGTTACTCTGATTATAGTAAACTTTGTTAACATTGACATGATTTTAATTTTGTGCTCTCTGCTAGCACATTGTGTCTCTCTCCCAGAGCTCTCCACTCTTCTCTCTGATTGTTGCAGTCACAAAGAAGTCTCAGTGCCTCTGTCTGCCATCTCAATGTCTAGTTGACATGAATATTGATATAATGTGAAACTTAGTGTTGGGAAATTAAATAGCAGGCAGTGTTATGGGATACTGGCTCACGGGAAGAAACAAAAGAATGGGTGTCCAAGTTTGGTACAAGATGATGAGCTGTTGACCATATTTGGTAGGTCAGTATCAGTCGGTGCCAGTTACCGCACCAAACAGACAGATGAGTTGTTTTGTTTAGTATTATTTTGACTGGGATGAAATGGCTTTAAATGATGAGGTCATTTTACTGTGCTGTTTTCATTAGTGTTTTAGAGAAGTATAGATTAAAAATCCTTCGCTACCAATCTGTCTGACATGCTGCACAAGCTGAAGCCGGAAAGATGGGTTAAGCAATTGAATTGAATCCATGTGCAGCTAATGAAAAAATGCCAAATCTGAATCCTAATTCTGGACCTAATGCTGCCAGAAAGTTGACTCTGTGGTTTATGCTGAAAGTCAGTCTCCTTCGCAATGCTGTAGTGAAGTCGCTAACCTCAGTGGGATTTTACCTGGTTAGGTAAAGTTTAAATCCTGGTAGATCCAAAGCTCAGAATATAAAATATGCAACTGTAAAAGTGCATAAAATGTAATGTGGAGTGCTTCAGTATCAAAGATCCAAATTCGAGTTCTTTAGTTGTTTTTGTACTTGGTTATGATTATACTCTTCACACACAAATATGTAGCCCTAGCAGTGGACCAAATAAAGTAATAATGAAGAATTAATTATACTCCTTGATGACTTTCCTCACACTGATGAATCAGGCTGCAGAGATGAGCAGCTTTAGTAGTTTTGCCTCTATGTTTGAAGGTTACGATGGCGGCAGCAGCAGTGGCTCTGAGTGTGAGAGCCCCATCTTGGATGAGCAGGAGTGTCAGTCACCACTGATGCCAGACTTCTGGCTGATCGTTCAGATCCACCAGGACCGAGTGAAGGTCTACTCCCATTCCAGGTCAGATGAACCAAAACCTGCTGCTCTAAACAGCACTACTGATTCTTCTGTTTAACATTTTATATTTGGCCTGTAGTCTGTGGCTCACCAGTATTTCAGAGCAGGATGCTATTTCCTGCTTGTCCAGGATTCTGACACGTTTTTCGTTGCTCCTTTAAGCTTAGAAGTAAAAGAACTGTAATATGTTTTGGAAATGTCTTGTATTAAATTACTGCAGTAAACTATGATACCTCATCACTGATTTCTGTTTAAAATGGCGATGTCATTCATGTTAGTCACTCTTGCTGACTGACTCATATACGCGTGATCACGGCTGTGATCGAGTCCTGTTCACTAGTTCAGATTTGCTGTATTTTTGCAGGTGCTTCACAGAGGGAAAAGGGGTCAGTGCTGAGGAGTTGGAGAGGAAGGAGGAAGAGCAGGAGCTGCCTGAATACTTAAAACTGCATCGAATGGTGGTCAAGAAGATTGGTGAAATCTGCAGAATTGTCAATCAGGTGGCTACTGCATCACATGGGAAACCGCATCAGTTTTTTAAAAGCTTTACAATAAATGTTTTAGACTGTCATACAAATGAAGTAACATTGCTGTCTTGTGACAACATTAAAAGTATTGTAGGAACAGGAAAAAAAAACAATCAAATTGTATTTTTAATAAAAAAGGAAACAGGTTAACACAAATATCAGTCCAGATGTGTGCGCATTATTTAATTTGGCAGTTATCAGATTTCAGCTTGCTAGTTAGTTACCCATAAACCTTTGCAAAATCCTTTTTACTACAAATAGATTGTACGGTCCATCCTACTGAACACGTACATGAACTCGGTGTATACAGCTTCTTGTCGCATACTTCCTCTGGTTGCTGCTCAGTGTCTGCTGTATATACAATAACACTATGTACTGGATGTGTGTATGTGTAGCGTATGCTGCTGCAGGATCTGCATGACAGCCACGTGTGTAACTCTCTGCTGGTCGCCGAGAGTGAGGAAGACATCTGGAAGAATGAGTCTCTCTACAGGCAGAGGCTCCACACCTCAGACGGTAAGGCAGAAGAAGATCCATGCAGTTTTGATTGTGTTTGAGATGTCTGCACCCCAGTGCAAGTTTGGAGAGGTGAAAGAAAGCCTTCAGTAATTGTCTGTGTCGGTAGCTGTTCATATCTCCTCACCTTTACCTGTGTTTCTATTTTATCCTGACAGTTTCTATTTTACCCTCACAGATTACAACACAGAGGAGAGCTACCAGGCCAGAGACTACCTGGCAGCCACCATGCAGTTCATGCCTGGACATTTTGCCTGCGATGTGGTGTGGAGCACCGTCATTCACATCCACCCACGCCTCAAGATGGGACCCAACATGGGGGTGGCCAGGGGTGAGCGGTAGATCAGAACAAATGGTTTGATTTAAAACCTCTTTGTCTGTATACACATGACTCAGAGGGTGCTTCAGCCTGATGTGTATATAACTGAATTCATCTTGTTTTGCTGATTCAAGTGATGATGATGTTTCTTTCCTTGTATACTTTGATTAATGTATCTGAGATTATTTGTTTACTTCATGGCTAAATGATTTTTTATCACTAAGGTAAAGTGAAACAATGATCAAATCTCTGAAAGCAGGTAGTTATTAGTGAATTTGAGTTATTGGTTTATTTATTATTAATAGAATTAAATACACACCTACTTATACTGATTCAGTTAACTTTTACTCTGTAAAATGCAGAGGAAGTGGGTGGAGGACATTTTTTTCCATTTACAGGAGAACTGGAAAGATTCAATAAAGTTTTCTCTTTAAATTTTTAATGATTCTGCATTCAAAGTAAATAAATATTTACGTTTATTGTGAAGAATCACTTACTAAGAGAGAGACGCATCGTGCACAGTGTCCATTACATGCTGTTATTATGAAACAGCCATCTCTAGTCACATGGAATCAAGATCGTTCTCTTACAGCCCAGTGGCACACAGTTATGTGAATAAGCAAAATCTATCTGTTAATATGCTTTTTGGCATGTTGAAGTGTTTATCTGTACGGATTCTCTAGTTATTCACTAGGAAAATCTATGATCTGCAGCATAAAATGTTGCCAAAACTGATATTATGAGCAAGAGGCCTTTTGAAGAACCACAATAGTGAAAAAGCCTGGACAGTCTCAAGGCTCCAAGTCCATCTCCAGAGACCTGGCTGTTCCTGTGTCCACTGTGCACAACATTGTCAAGAGGTTTACAGCCCATGGCTCTGTAGCTACAGTCAGGGAAAAAATTATTTGAACCCCAGCTGATTTTGTAAGTTTGCCCACTAATAAAGAAATGATCAGTCTACAATTTCAATGGTAGGTTTATGTGAACAGTGAGAGACACAACAATAACAAAAAATCCAGAAAAATGCATTACAAAAAAAGTTATACATTAATTTGCATTTTCATGAATGAAATAAGTATTTGATCCCCTATCAGTCAGCAAGATCTCTGGCTCCCAGGTGTATTTTAT